CACGTCACGTCACGTCACGTCACGTCACGGCACGGCACGACACGACACTACACGACACGACACGCCACGCCACGTCACGTCACGTCACGTCACGTCACGCACGTCACGTTTCACTAGCTGCCTGCCACTGCCACGCGAGTACGCTTCTTTTTGTCTCTTCTGTAACGTTCTCCTTCTTCACGGACTTTCTCGTATTTCTTCCTTTCGGATTCATTCGTTTGTTCGTTCGTTCGTTCCCGCCGCCACTTTAGCGACCGATTCTTCCGATTCAAGTTGGAGTAATTGTTAAGATTCCGAAAATTAACACGTCGAGCACAAGCTAAAGAAACTGTCCGTATACGAATATATCGCGGTGACGAAAATCCTTCGGATAGTAAACAAAAGTGATCGATACGAAAAGCGGCAACTTTAGTTTACTATTGGTGTCATGACTCCCAAGATACGTTTAAAAAGATGCACGGTGCATCGGTAAGCGCTACATCGGTAGCGCGCACATGCCTAGATTGAAGTTCGCGCGTGAACCAGAGGTCACGAGGGTTCACCGGATCGTCCTGATCCGCAAAAGGGGTACGGAAGAAATCCGATCGTACGCATCCAGTGAACATCGGCCTCGAGTGCAATGTGTTCTTTGAACATGTCCCGGTGTTTTTAGTGTGTGACTATGGTAAATGGTTTTTTCAGTGATCGCCGTAGACAACAATAGCGGATAGTAGCATGGATCGACGCGTTCTGACGCTCCCATCGTCGGCATCCCATCGTCGACAGACACTTTTACTACGATAATCTCGCTTTCATAAATTTCGATCGTCAATTTTTTTACCGGAGGTCAACCGAAGGCAGTCGATCGTTTGAACGAAACGTCGCGCCGCTCTCGTAAGGAGAAGCGAGAAAAAGAAACGAAACTGGATCGCATAGATCGCGATCGATACTGCTAACCTGGTTCAGGTGATGTATCGAGGTATGGGCATGGTGTCGAGCTACGCGTTGCCCGCGGAAGGAAGTTTCTGGTGAGAGGAGTGGTTCTTAGGGAATTGGAAAATCAGAGGGGTAGCATCGCCGAATAAACGACGGAAGAAGAAGTAGCTCATTTCACGGAAGCGAATAGCGGAAAGGGAGGAGGAGGAGGAGGAGCTGGA